CATTTTGCCATCTACTGTACTTGAGCTTGGTTTAGGCTGTGTTTACATTTCTCCATTTAAAGACGAGTGCCTTTAAGTGGAAAGACTATATTCCGTACCCAGGGTTAACTTTGGTTCTTCATGTCAAAAGGGCCTGCAGTGTGATAAGGAGGAGAGTTCAGCAAAATCAGTAGGTTCTCTAGTTATGTATGAATCAAGATGTGACTCAGTAGCATTGCATACTATTAAGAGGGTCATTAGAGTGTTACTTATTCATTTGCCTTGGGTTGGACGTTCACTTTGATGTCTAGGAATATTCTCAAGGCAGGCTTTTCCTTAGCTTGCTACTTGGATGAAGACCTTAGCATTCATTCCCCAGCTCCTTCCTAGGGTCATCTATATTGAAATCGTTCCTCTTCTTGGTGTCATCTTGGAATTAAAGCTCTTGAAAGCTTGAAGCCTGCAAGGCAGCTGGTTGCTCCCAAAGCATATGAGGTCACTGTGCAGCTTTGATATGAAAAATGAAGAAATCTGCTTATCAGTCTACTCTCCTCTACACAGGGGAACTACAAAAAGATCCATCAGGTTTCATTTCTGATCCAAAACAGGTTTCATAATTCAGTCTACTAGATTCCATGAAAAGTTTATGGAGTCACAGAAAAGCAGTGAAGAAATTTGGAAGAAACAAAAACAAAAACCCCCAGACAGAAAACTCCAGATCATCTCAACGATGTGCGGTGGACAGGAATGAAAGGGCATGGCCTTGGAACAGGAGAGAAGAATGAGAAAGAACAGAACCAGGAGGGTACAATCATGCCACCCATATTCAATTTCCAGTTTTATTTTCATAAAATGACACGATGAAAAAAAAAAAACTTCTAGTAAGCACCATTGAAAAACATTGCCCGGCCAACTTGAGCACGAACATAAATATTACTTAAATAAATTCAATTTCTTAAAAAATACAGGACCTCTTAGAAACTTTTTACTTCAGGAAGAAATTTCCTGCATCATATCCAAAACGCTTCCCACCATGACAAATGGAATTTCTGATGGGCTTTAAAAAAAACAATGCTATGGGGTTAATGGCTAGATAGCACCAAGAGATTGTGCAGGGTCTGTAAAGTTAGCACTCTGGACTTCAAGGGAGCTAGATCAGTCTCAGCTCCTTTACGTATTTCTTCATTCTTTCCATTGCTAATTTGACTCTACTGAACACTTTGTGTAAAATAACCTAATTGACGACGGAAAGAACAATGGAAAAGCCAGTAGCAGCAAGTCTATCCGATAAAACCAGTGGAGCAGACTTATCAAGTGAGCAAAATGCAAAAACCAGTACATAATGCATGAAGGAAGTCATGTGTGGAAAGTATCAATGTCTGACCATGAAACACTAAGACAAATGGCACTGAACACAACTCTGTAGGTTGTTCTTCATGCTCTCTGGTTTAGTTTCCTATCATTTCCCCAATGGTGAGCTCAAGCATGAAAAACGACTGATGCAAGAGCTTTCCGTTTCATTTTGATCTAGATATGCTCCTGTGATGTTTTGGAAAAACATTTTCAAGCATCTCAAAGAGGAAACACACAAGTAAATGCAAAAGGAAAAAAAAATGGACCTTCGAACCCAGGGCAGGAAATCAAATCATTACTTTAACGTCAAATTTTGGCATCAAATACTTTGGTCATACAATACCGTCTCTGTGGTCTGGCTGTTTAGCACTAAACACCCAGTTATAAAAGGTAGGCTTGTTGTAGGTTTATTTTTTTTTTTCCATTTAAGTTCTGACAAAACAGTTCACCGTCTCCCTGCACAAACTTGAGAGAGAGAAAAAAGGACAGCAAGAAAGAGAGAGGTGGCTTGCTTTTTTTTTTTTTTGGCTTTTTTGTTTTCTTTTAATAATATGGAATAATCTATAAGTCTACAGGAACAAAGAAATCTAAGATGGCTGCTCAGCCTTGGAATGTACATGTTTTGCAGCAAAGTTGTTGAAGGACCTTCCGCTGGCACAGATTATTCTTTTTCACAAGCATACAGAAGCCTCCTTCGGCCCAGGACTCTTCCGTTGCTTTTCCAGAAGTCAGCAAGAGAGAGGGGAGTGGAGGTCGAGAGCACGGTGCACACACACGGAAGGAGGTTTTGATTGGCCAGAGAGGCAGATTGGGGGGTTGGAGGAGGTCATTCGGGAGCAGTCAACAAGGAGGAAATTTGGTCCACCCACAGTGATTTCAGTCAACAGCATTGTTTTTCAAGCAGAGATATTGCAGTCCAACGGGAAATGTGATTGGTATCCATTTGTGAAAGAAAAAAAAAAAAGATTGAAAAAAGAATAAGTTAGAGATCAACCATAACACAAGCAAGGAATTTTTCTTTTCAGAATTCCCTGGAGCAGAAAATATACAGTCATGTGTACCATATTTCACTGAGTCTAAGACACAGGGTTTAAAGATGTACCACTATTTTAAATAACGCAAAGACAATATTGTTTCTTACTAAATTGTGACTCATTGCTTATAATTTTATACGTATGAAAAGTATTTGTTAAATAATACTGTTTGGTTTTTGTGCTCACGTGATAATCCCTTTTTTGAATATTAAACAAGTTTAGCTTTTGAAGCTCTTCTGAGCCGCCTTTAAATGGCACACAAGAAGGAGTGCCGAAGTCTCACATTTGGCAATGACACTTATGTCCTATCAACCTGCTCATCAACAGCAGTGGTAAGCTGCTATGAATGACAGGATTCATCTGACATTATGACGTCCAAAATTTAAGAAAAAAAAGGCATGTCTTAGAGTCATGGAAATATGGTAACTGAAAGGGAGCAAATAGCCCATCCTTAACGGCCTGCCATGTGATCTGAAAAGCCTAACCTCATTCTATAACTGACCTGAAAATGGTTCTTCATTATCCACTTTTGCCCACAATCCTGACATTCCTCTTTCACCAGCGTGCCATTTGGTACAACTTCATCCATACTTACCATGGTTGAGCAAAAGTAGTTAAAGCATCACAGGCCCTGAGTTGCTTCCAAGCGTTAGAGGAGAAAACTTCAAGCCTGTGTCAGTCACTTAAGAGTTCCCCTCAGTTTTTTGGTAACTGACTTAAAAAATATTCTGGTGGTATTTTCAGTTACAAGGAAACCACGTTTTTAAGTAAAGGTAAGGTGACACTTTCTAGTAACTAAAAGGCGATACTTACATGTCCCTGGAGTGGCATCAATTCAGGCATCTCACTCCAGTAAGGTATAGTGAAACACAGCCCTGCCCCCAAAGCCCTGAGAACAGAGAGTTTGAGTGGATCCAGCCCAAATGCGGCAGGCCAGTGATCCACCAGGAGGGCTTGGATGGCGCCGTCACCCATGATGTGCATGTGGGAGACCGTACGCAACGCTATCTGAGCCCTCGATGCCCACCTGTTTCTAAGGCCCTTCTGAGATTCCTAGAGTGGATGTGTGGAATAACTGTGCAAGGTCAGGGTCACTTTCTTCTTCATTTTGTGAAGATAAGAGAAACAGGCATGGGAAATTCATAACCTGCTTAGGTCTAGAGGTCAGACAGGGACACTTTGTCTCCCATACTTGTACGATACTCTGCGAACCACAGTGCAGTTCTGCCTCCCTTCAGATTTCCGGAAACATTCAAAAGAAGGGAGAAAATAAACCTAAAACACTGATTTTGTTTCAAGTGCGTGCTTTCTATTGTTATAACTATCCAATGTCGTTCTACCTCATTGAAATGTGTTTTCTGGGCATGTGCCAAAGTATCAGGGGAAACAGGGCAGCGCAGGTTGCTCAAGGAAGGCTGCACATTAGAAACCCGTGAGAAACTTCTGAAATTACTTGTTCTCAGGCAGCGCCTGGGACAATGCAGTCAGAATTTGGGGGAAGGTGTGGGGTCTCAGCACCTTGTCTGAGAATCACTGGTGCAAAGAAAAGAAAAATGGACCAACATTTAGAAGTCTTAAGTTCTGTACTTTGTTCTATCGCTTCTACTGTCACATCCCGGAGATTTTTGTTCCCTGTGAGACTGGAGTTTTAATTTCTAATTTCAAGTCTTCACAAAATGTTCAGATCCTGTTTGATTATTACTTACATATCAAAATTATGAACAATATGAGTAACAGGAAAGTAGAATAAACTACATAATCATCACGATTGAATTTTATGCTGATATTAAAAGTGAAGTTTTCTAAGATGCTATAAAAGCACAAGACATGGGATGCTGCTTGTGCATAACGTTTAGCGCCAAAAGCAGAATATAAAACTCTTTGTATATGGTATTTTAATGATCTGGTAAAAAGTACATATGGAAAAGGACTTTAAAGAATTATATTAAAAATTAACCAGAAAAGGCTACGCATTATATGATTTCAACTGCATGACACTTTGCAAAGCGGAAATCTGGGGAGACAGCATCTGTGATTTCCAGGGTCTGGGGGAACAGAAGAAAGAAGCAGAACACCGAAGAATCTCAGGGTAGTGAACTGTTCCGTGTGACACCGTAATGGTGGGTATGTGGCATAACATATTTGTCCAAACCCACAGTGTATACAACATCAAGAGCAAATCTTTATGTAATACTATAAACTTTGGATGAAAATGATGGGTCGCTGTAGGCTCCTGTCTCATAACAAACATGCCACTCTGGTGCCAGATGTTGATTCTATGAGAGCCTATATAAGCAGCGGTAGGAAATGTACAGTATATTTCTGGGTTTCTTGCTCAGTTTTTCTGTGAGTCTAAAACTGCTCTAAAAAGTAAAGTTTATTAATAAAAAAAACCCTTAACTGAAGCTATATGGCTTGTGGGACTATAGGTAATTTGTTTCTTCTTGCAATGGAAAAAATACAAAACCAAATCCATTGAAGTCATAAGTTCATGATGAATAAACACCAACAAGATATAAGACTTGCCTTATCTAATGCATGCTTGTTAGTTTCTTTTGAAAATGGAAATGGATTAGGCCTTCAGTGGAAAGGTCATTCTTTGCTCAGATGATCTAAATGTGCAATTGTACTCACCATCTTTGCAGATGGCTCCCAGCTGACACATCCCTAAGTCTAAGAGGTACCCACTGGGACAGCTTGTGCAGTTCTTGAATCCTGGACCATTGCATGTCAAACAACTGGTGTCACACCTATAAAAAGATGTACAATTTTTAATCCTATCATTCATGGGAGAAGGTATATTTTTACTGTCTTAAGCTTAACCCTCTCTTTGAAAGGGCTATAAAAATTTTTTTCTTGCAAAATTTGCTATGTTTGATAACATTAAAGAAATGTTTGCTAATGTTTGCTAATGTTAAAGAAAACAGCAGGCAGATACTGATGTCAGTGGGGATACAGCATGTATTTGAAGCAGAGCTATTACTTTTAAAGCCTGAGGTGGCTGCGAGGCAAAAAAAGACTGGATAACTTGGGTAAAGCTGTAAGGCAGTGTCCAAAGTTAAATGGTTAAACTTTGTCATTAACAATGCTAAGTTTCCTCATTACTGATGAAGACAGTCCTATAAGGAAGCAGGTACTAAATGCTAACGCCATGTGCCAGATGCACTTACCTTTTGCAGGATTTGTATCCATGCTCTGCAGAGTGGTCTAGGTAGTAGCTGATGCTGCAGCTCTGCACACATCTGCCCTCTTCCATGAAGTAACCCTCCGTGCAGTTAATGCACCCATCAGCACCTGCTCCTTTAGTGCAAGACAAACGCAGGAAACAGAAACCAAGCCTCAGGGAAGGGTGCAATATGGGCAGTGTTTTTAACAGTTTGTGAAAATGACATTCATCTGTTATAATTTTATGTTATACTTTACTTGTGGTTTTTTTTGTTATTTTCCTTGTATGGGAGAAAGCCCTCCGATTTTAAAATGAACTTATTCGCTAAAAACACCCGATTTCTTTGGAAAGAGAAGATGTCATTGGGACATTCTCAGTGAGGAGGGGATGTTGGTGGCAGACTTTGCAGAAGAACACATACACAATTATCCAAAGAGAAACAGATTCCCCCATATTTTCTTTAGACATATCAAGTGGGTTGTATGAAGGATCGCTAGAACCAAACAAAGACTACATTGGAAACAAAGACTAAGCAGTAGAACTGGGAGAAGGTACCAGCACAGGTGGCACAGAAGCGATGGCAGGGCTGGCAGTCCTGGCCATTGAAGTACCATCCATCTTCGCAGGTGACAGAACACCGGTCTCCCTGCAGGCTGCGAGAAATGTCAACAGAGCTGTAAGCAGACCTTTGCAATCAAGGCAAAGCGGCCATAATTCACCAAACTTCACATGTACAGTACCCTTGGAGACCGGTGGATTTGGGAGAGGTTCAAAGCCAAGGAAATAACCTTGTGTCCTTTTTTTCCCCTCGTGGTACTCATAATGAGATCTGTAGCATATGCACATGCTGTTAAGCTCTAGGGACAGTTTCCTGAACTTGTCAGACTCACAGACACTCTTGCTTTGTTGTGTATCTTCCAACCCAGCAATCTAAAAAGTACTGGATTGACAAAACAATCACGATGCCTAGCAATACACCCAGCAATCCCTTAATATCCAGACCTACTCCCTAATAAATTTAAAAGTTGTTCCATAATTCTAATTGCAGTAGCAACACATAGTAAAATGAATTACAACTGAAATAAAAGTTTAACAACAACCCCTTCCCAAGCTCCAGCCCAGAGTCCCTGGAGTAGCTTTCCACATTTTTAAGTGCTTTTGATTTTTAAACTTTTATTGCTTCTATCAAAACAACAGAATTCTCAGGCTGAGGGTATGGCTCAGGGGTATGGCATATGCTTAGCATCCACAAGCCCCTGAGTTCAATCCCCAGCAACACACACACACACACACACACACACACACACACAAATTCTAATACACTTCTGCCTACGTTTCTGGATTTATTCATTTAAAACACTCTAGTGAGGAATTTAGGATAATTACCTATAGTGCTGCTTTCTCAAATATCTGGATTTTTCTTATTTTTTTTGTGTTTCCAGGAGATATCTATACCACATTAATGTATAATGCATTTGAGTTTCTATTCTCTACTTGTACAATAAAATGGTACCTAATAAATTGCCAGAATATCAAATGAGAAATATACACTTTTCTTTCCTTCCCTTCTGTCAGCTATGAGATTTCCCAAAGCTTACAGTTTCATTTTTAAAATTATGATACACAGAATTTACATTATACAATACAAAATATAAAATATTAGACACTGAAAAACTAGTGTGGTTGGAAACAGGGTGGAAATGTAACCCTATGTCACCACCAAATTGATGATACTACAAGGCCGTACCTCAGGAAGATGGGCAAAAATTGCTATATTTTTAGCGCTTTTAGGTTGTTTTAACTGACCTCTTATTTGACTGCTGTATGTGGATCATACTAATTCAAAAAATTAAAGTTTATTTTTTCCTATGTATATTAAATAAAGTAGGAAAGAACAAAAAAAGTAAACAAGGGGGAAAAAAAAAGAAAAAGAAAAGAAAGAAGATATCCCTAACAGTTCTTGTTAGTATTTTACTTCATTTTCTTGTTGGGTGTCATGTATAGATATTTTCCCACTTCTTTTTCACTTCTCTGTAAGAATTTATAGGCCAAAAGCTTCAAGGAAAATGCAAGTGGCCTCAAGGAGACAAAGACAGCTCTACTAGAAGTGTGTGATCCTCACAGAACTTCTTTCTGGCCAGAGAGCAGGCATTTAAACAACCCCTAAAGAAACTCTTCCTCCCTTTCTGCAGTGGTAGAGAAAGGACACTGCATCCAGTGGGTCCTCTTGGAGGCAGGAGGGCCACTGGAAAACTTATCACAATTTTATAAAGGCCGCCTGGTTTTCCCAAGCAAGGACAGCACTTCTGATCAGGCCACTGTTTGCCAAGAGGCTGAGGCTACAGTCTGTAGGAAGAGACAAATGAAAGGGACACGCCACACAGGGTGGTCACCATACCCTGAAGCTTCCTGCTGCCCCTGTGAGACTGAGGAGCCCGGTCCTGGGAAAGCCTACGCCCTTCTCTGATGAAGTCACTGGGTCAGACCTGTGCGTCCACACGGCTACCGAGTTCTTAAAGCACAGCTAATGCAGCCCAAGGACCTGAACTTTATATTTTTATATCATTTTAATTAATGTATGTCTAAATTTGAGAAATTCGCACTTGGTTTGGTTATTGGCAAATGTTAGAATACATCTGGGACCTCTTGGCTTTTTAAAATCTACTTTCTCAACTAGATTAAAAAAACCCAACTGGAGGTATTTCTCATAAAAATTATTGTCAGGATTGAGCTGCACTTTAAGAACATATATGCCAGATTTTGAAAATTTAATAAGGCAACAAAAAAGAATGTAAAATACGTTAGTTTTTCAAGTTTGTCACATGTTTAAATTAAATATTTTGGACATGTTAGATTAAATAAAATATTTTATTAAAATCAACTTCCCCTGTATCTTTTTACTTCTTTTAATATGGCTACTGGCATATTAAAACTAAAGTATGACTCTCATTTTCTATCAGAGTGTGTTGGTTTAACTTTGTAAAGTTTCCCTAGAAATCAAGAAAATAATCCAAGTAATCTTTTATTTTTCAGGGGCCAATTATGTACCAGGTGCTAGACTAGGAGCCTCACAATGTTATCATAGTTTATTTTTCACCATAAATCTGCAAAATATGGGTTACTATTAGATGAGACCAGGGAGATTCAGAGTGGTTAAGTGACTTGCTCCACATCACCGTTAAGACCAGCAGAGGAGATTTGAATCCACACCTCTCTTCCTGCCTTTGTCACCCCACAGGTCCTCCATGAAGAGCGCTGAGGCTCAATAGCTTGGAATTTAGCAAAAGTTTTCATCTTGAGATGCAAGCTACTCATTAGCAAGCTAACACCGAATGCACTTATAAAAAAAAGGGACAAAACTATAGATCATAAATCTAAATGAAAATAACGCCCAAAAGTGATTAATAAAGGCACTCTCAATACCCAAAAGGAATCCAGTGGGAGAGAATCCTAACTCTGTGTATAGTCCAACTCCTCACTTAGCCTAGAACGGTCTGATCTCTCCACCTCGTTCAAGAGGCCACCAAGTCGCTTTGTACTACATTCTCTTCTCAACTGTCAGACTCTGACAATAAGTGAAGCACTCATTCAAGGAGAACTTCTCCTGGTGCTACATCTACACGCAAAAGACAGCATAATGGAGTCAAGCCTGAGGTACCTAAGATAAGAGAATGATTGGGTATGTGCAGAGAAGTAATAAAGATAAGAGAATAACTTTCTACCTTCCAAGGAATTAATCAGGTGGATTAAATATAATTCATCAGCATTACCTGCACAATAATCCCTGACCTGCACAATGCAGGCAAAACGCATGAAGGATGCTTCTCAAATAGTCATTTTTATTGACTTGTATCTGACTCACTTGTCTATGGAGAATTTATTTAGTTTATAACCCTTCCTTCACCAGGATGGCTCCCAATTTTTCATACCTAGTGGTGGAGATAATGCAAACTGCAGTTAAGATCTTTTGTGGGAGTCAAACCAAGGGTAGAGAGTAAGAGTGCTGTTTACTTGTTTATTCCTGTTTTTCCCAGTCTGTTCGCATTGAGAAGCTCTGTGGGCTATGCTATTTGATAAACTCCTTCACTCTCTTACCTTAGCCCATCCCTGCATTCTGTACAATTATGGGATTCAGTACATGTCTTGCAATTTTCACTGCATTTCCGGCAAAGATTTTTCTCTGTTTTAAAAAGAGAAGCACCGTTATAAATCAGTTGGTCAACTGGATTCCATAAAAGCATGTGAAGATGTTCTAATGTTTGCTGAAGTATTAGTACCCACAGTCTTCAGTAGGAAATTGCAGGAAAAGCCTCAGAATCAACATTTATTATCACTTCACAGTAAAGCAAATGCAAGCGTGGACTGCTGCCTTGGGAAATACCTGACACTCACTTGCCAACCTGTAGGCAAGAGAACTACAGCCTATACTTAAGTTTTTGTTAAATAATTTACAGGCTTTTCTCCCTTTCTCAAGCAGAGTTTCCTAACTCCCAGCACTAAAAATCCCACTCCTGAAGCCAGGCAGCAGGGCTGTGAGCACAGAATGGGGCCTTCCATGCCCACAGCTGGTCAGGATTCTCTGACCAGCGGTACTATAACAGGGAACTTACAGTGGAGATTCAAGATAAAGCAATGCTTATTTCCTCCCTTGACTAAAACAGTGCCTTGAATTTTATGGCTTCTGTGGAACTGATATAAATGCTTTCCCTTTCAGATAATATCTACATTCTGTAAAGTAGAAATGTATTGGTTTGAACAACTGCACTGTGAATCATGGTTTTCCTTTTCAACATAAATCCAAGTCCACACTGGAGAAAAGTATTATTCTATTGTGAAAAATAGTGCAAATGTACTATGTTATTGTGAAAAATTGTTCTATTGTGAATAATGGTGACTTGACATATCAAGGAAGGACTTTTACCTTGGACAAACTTTTGCTGGGGACTTGCTATCTGCTTTACTATGCAGTGTATACGTAAAACTGAGTGAAACTTTGTTCACTGGTTCTCTTCCTTTATCTGTCTTTAAATGTTGGTGTTCTTTGGGGTTCCACAGGAACTATTAAGTTCTTGACAATACTGTGGTATTTATACATGGTACTGATTATGTTATCAATAATAATGGATATGGTCTATGACAGTGGTGGGAACCTATAGCACTTGTGGGCTGCTTGTATCACCGAATGCTTTAAAAGGTTCGCCATCAGGGCAGGGGATTTAGCTCAGTGGCATAGCACCTGCCTGGCAAGCACGAGGTCGTGAGTTCGATTCCCAGTACCGGAGAAAAACCAAAAATAAAATAAAATAAAATAAAATAAAAGGTTCACCATCATTGGCATAGGATACAAAATTACACATCCTAGACCTGCCTTTTGCTTTTAGAATTTCCGGTGGGGAAACTCAACATCTCCATTCTCCCATTTAGTAAGTGGAGGTTATGAGGATACCCACTTCCAGCTTGTCTTGAGAGATTAATGAAATTATTCAAGAGGATGATATAAACTGTGAACGTACTGGCAGCAATTACTACTAGTCATGATTATATGTGGTCACCACGTTGTAGGTAAAAAAACTCATCAAAGGAGAACTATTATGAAAAGCAACTACATAGGAGAGATACGCAGATTCCTGAACTAATTCCAAGTGGAAGCTAAAGTAACTGCATTTCCTTCCTCAATTAGCCCTCTCCCGGACTCTCCAAAAAAGATTAGGCCCTTCAGGGCTGGGGGAGTAGCTCAGTGACAGAGTCCATGCTTAGCATGCACCAAGCCTTACCAGAAGAAAACAAACGAATCTCTCAGTTATTCTGATTTTGTCACATAACAATCTAGAACCAAATTTCTTTTCCAAGATCCAGCCTTCTTGACAGAGTTTTGACTTCACTCTCCAAGGAATACTGAATATTTCTGTGGATTCTCTATGCTCCTTCTTCTCTCCCAGTTTTCCCTTTCCCTATCAGATTGTAGCTGATGTTCCACATTTTGGGGCAAACAAGAGCGGTGGAGAGATCCCTGCCCTGTGCTGTAAAGGTACGATGAAAAACTCATGTGCTACACAGAGACACCTGTCTCTGATTTGGAGAATTTCATGTCTTATGAAGCAAGAGATCTTTTAAAAACAGCTCTTCTTTCTTTGAACTTGGGTTGTCTTATTTATCAGGTTGTGCAAAAACATATTTCAGAATCATTATATACCATGGTGTGACACCTTTGTTAAGACAAATTATCCAGAAATCAGAAATAAAAGATACCTGCAGGCCTTTTCAGGGCCACACTGGAGTGCTAACAGGTGTGCCCAGAGATCATTAATTCTCTAGTACAGGGATGGTGAACCTTTTAGAGCTTTCAGTGATACAAACAGCCCGCTCTGGCATGCGTCCCATAAGTTGGCTACCACTGCACCAGGACAAAGTCTCTTGGTCTGTTTGCTAATTATAGTGGATGAAGGCCCGGACTCTGAAGTTGTATATTATAGCATAGATCTTTGTTTGATAAAGTTGCAAATTATTTCTAGACAAAATACCCCCCAAATTCTAGTTTTGCTGTCATGTAGGAAATTATTGAATTTCACCTCTAGCTCAGTAAACAGATTTCATTTTGTCCTTTCTGGGAGAATACAGTACTTGGTCATCCTGGAACCCATTTGCCATCTTACATGTGACCTCATTAATGAGTTATATGCCTTTGACATATGTTCACCCTACATTTATAACAAAGCCATGCAATTTAAACTTTTCAAAGTGTACATTCTGATACAGTACAGCCTGTTCACACCTGGTGCACATGCAGTAAAGAGCAGGCCCAGCTGCTACCGTCGCTTACCCTATGTAAATCCACCTAGGGGGCCCATTGGCAACTAGAAACTTGGATTTCTCGCTTAGAGAGTTTCTGCCACTCTGGTGAGAGTGGCTCATGTTGTCTAAACGTGTGAAAACAATATGGCTTAAAGTGAACATGCTTTCTGTCCGGGAGCCTGACACTTTGGTGCATGGCCTGGCTTGCCACCAGGAGCTGGTCAGGGAGGTGCCCGGGCACTCAGTCTCCATTGACACTCAGCCCACAATGTTTTGATGTTTGTCACAACTTCTTGCTGGTGTAATGAAGCACGTCCCGAGTGACTGCGCTGGAGGGCACTCTTGGAAGCTGGTGCCCTTTTTCCTCCGGACTTCGCCATTTCTCTTAGCTGATTTTAGTTTTTATCCTTTTGCTCTAATAAACCATAACTATGTGTTTAAGAGTACATGTGTATCTTGAGACTGATGACCATTCCTAGCAAATCTTGAATCTGGGCATGGTCTTGAGGACCCTCTGATACAGTCAGATAAGAATTTTTATGCAGTGCTTCTAAACTGTCTCTTAAAATAAACTGGCTAGAACCTGTCTGGTGTTAAGCAATGTGCAGGTTTCATAAAAGCTAAATATTCCTTCCAATGTCATTGAAATGAAAATCCTACATGCTGTCTCTAAAAGATGAATATTTGAAATCAACTCACTGGTGTCCTGATAGGACCCATCAGGGCAGTGGATAACGCAGCTGTTGGTTTCTTCGCTGAGGAAGTAACCATATTTACAGGACAGGCATTGGTCACCATGGCTCCCGAAGCAGGACTCACAGTTGGGCGCACACTTCCGGCAGCGCTTCTTGTCAGCATGGTAGTGGCCAGGGGGACAGCTGGGGACACAGATCCTGCATTGGGGAATGATAAGAAAGAAGGCGACATCACCAGTGACTCAGTCCTCAGTATCCTTTTGGAGGAGCTTGGCAAACAGTTGGCCTCAGCCTGGAAATGAGTTCTGAACCAGGATGCCAACAGCAAACTTGAAGGGCCGAGTGCTGCTGACTAAAGCTTTGTCCCTGCGCAGGGCACTGAAGGAGGAACACAGTTACAGCGTGCCACATCCATCAGATGAGGTGTCCCTCGATCCTGGCCATCCCTTAGTTCAGATCCAGCGCTAAAATGAAGGTTTAGATGCCGATGTTCAGGGTAGATGCTGCATCTCCACAGTATGCCTGGGGTGGTGAGTCAGAGGGAAAGTACAGGGGAACCCTCATTTCATGCAAAAAAGATCACTGTGATAGAGGTTCTTCCTACTTTTGTACGGGTCCTGTGTGTGCTCATGTGGGTACTGGTACTGGCTGTATGCTATAGTCTAAATCAATATAAATATATTTACATTTATGTTGGTTATGAGAAGCTGTTTTACTTAATAACTTTGCCCACAACTGAAAGACAAGGTTTAATTTATTTGTTTCTTCAAGAAATATTTATTGAGCACCAATTAAATATCAGGTATTTCTGAAGTACAAGAGATCACAAAGGTACTGAATTACTTCAAGGCCTCTTCCTCAAGGAAGTTAGATTCCAGCACAGACTTAAATAGGGATCTGAGCCTGTCTGGCTCTGCCTGGGTGCCTGGGCTCTCGTGGTGCCACATGCAGCTCCCCAGAGTGACTTCTGCCTGAAGCAGGAGGGAGGAGGGAGATGGTGGACGTGTGAGGGCCATGGGCTAGGGAGGACGTGGTGTAGCGGGGCAGTCCATGGTCCATGGCTTGGCCTCATGGGCACAGGCTACATACTGGGCCCCAGCAGAAGACTGGGAATAAGCAGGGACAAGCACCTGCGTTGTGTTGGGGACTGTGGCAGAGCATCAGTCTGGCCTGTGTGCTGGCATTTCCACAGGGGCTAATACAGTCAGAGCATCAGATAGGAACCGGGTGTAAAGGACACCGAACTTCAGTTGAACAGGTACATTAAGTTTGAGAGCCTATTATCACCACCAGTTAGAAGCTATGTATTGTATACTTTAAAATTGCTGGGCCAGGGATATAGCTCAGCAGCACAATGCTCGCCTGGCAAGCGTGAGGTCCTGAGTTAGATTCCCAGTACAAAAAAAAAAAAAAAAAATTGCTAAGACATAGATTTTCAAGTGTTCTAACCACAAAGAAATGGTGAGCATGTAACAGAATGCTTAAATGGCTTGATTTAGCCACTCCACAGTGTGCGCACATTTCAAAACATCACTGTCTTGGTTACTTTTCTCTCGTTGCTGGGACAAAATATCTGATGCCCAAAATTAAGGAAGGAAAGGTTTATTTCGCTTACAGTTTGTGGAGGTTTCAGTGTGTACTTGGCAGGTTACAAGGCAGAGTGGCACATGACAGAGGGCTACAGCTCATGGCAACAGAACACAGCAAAGCAACAACATACACCAGGGAGGAAATGCCCAGAAGCACCCTCTTTCTCTCCCTTACATATGCAAACTATCCACCCCAGGGCGGGTGCAGCTCTCACACCCATAATCAATCAAACTCTAAAAGCCTGATCCATGACTGCATGAGGCTTTGGTGGGACACCCAGACACAAACCGTAACAACCACGCTAGGCAGTATAAACATGCTTTCCAATATGATAATTGAAACCAACAAAAACACCAAAAAGAAAGACCTGGAGGAAGGCTGAGGCAGGAAGATTGCCAGTTTCAACCCAGCCTGGGCAACTCAGTAAGACCCTGTCTCAAAAACAGGCTGGAGATGTGGAGCAGTTCAAAGGCCTTGGGTTCAGTCCTCAGTACCACAAAACAACTCCAGCAATAATGAACAAACACAACAAAATGAAGCAAACTGCATGTGCTTCGCTGGTTTCTCCAGCTAAATGTGAGGAGAGACGTTTGCAGTTTCATAGCACATAGGCCCATTACGCTTCATATCTCAGCGTAATTTTCATCACTGTGGGTTCTACAGGTGGGCAACGAGCCTGAGCAGCAGCACCTTCTCTGAGCTTGGGGCCTGGTGGGGGACACGGTGGCTTCCAGCATGCCCCTCATGTTGCTGGTCCTGTGGTGTCATGTGCGGGATCTGACGTGGTCTCTTACCTGGTGTTATTTTTCAGCTTGTAGTAGTAGTGCAAACAGTCATTGCAGTGGTCTGGTCCAGGCCCATCACAGCCAACTTCACTGCACTCAGGATCGCATGGGCCTTTCAAAAGAGATGGGAGCAAAACATGAACAAAGGACTCTAGCAGGTCTGCTTGATCTTGACTTTGGTACAAGATAGCATATTATTTTTTTCCCTTTTACATAGTGACAGTTTCTTTTGGACAGAGGACTGATAGTCAACATGATTATAAACTCAGAGATAAACTTTTGACTTTTATTGGGAAAAATTAAATTTCCTAGGTATCAAGCATGTCAAATCTACGCAAGACCCATTCTTCAAAATATGTATGGCTGTGTGGTGGGAGATAAGAAATATTTCAGAATTGAAATGAACCATGCAACTATTGCATCTGGGAAAAAATACCCTGCAATTAATATGCATAACAAAAATGTAGGGTTTACAGAAAATGAGAAGCTAGGTATTGACAAAAAAAGAAAATAAGATTATTACTCAATGCCTGGACCAAACTGCCTGCTTCATTTGAGGTCATGAAAGCCATGAAATACCTCCGAAATACTGTGACCTGAAGAAACATCATTCTGGCATCTGCACAAGCTTATCAGCATCTAGTCTTGGATCACAAAGCAGGTACCGTAGGTACAGGTAATAGATTCAAAATTGCATGCTATCCAAAGGTCAATGAGAAACTCCATGAAAGAAAATTATATAAACATGTAAAAATGAGAGCTGGCTTAAAAGAATGCCAGACCTGGGATGAAGGTACCTAACTTCTCTTGCTACATATTCTTTGGTATAGTGAAAAAAATGCACAAAGAGAAAAAAATAGCAGAAAATTATTTTGTAATTGATGAAAAACTTTGTATTGATGTGGGTTACTTATAGGTTTTACTTTTTTTTTCCTGATTCTATATTTTGGTATATATGGTCTCCCGATCATGAAGGTCTTTCCCACTGAAAATTTGTATGATTTTAACCATCAACGAATAACTGCATGAAATACACAAATAGTAAGCCAAGGATACCAGACATGTTTTAAATCCTACTTTATGCAAAAGGACTTACTGTTAACCGTAGTTTTCCTAAAACATTATGGAACTATGTCCAAAATAACTGAATCCCAGAAACATAAACTGTTAGAACTGGGTGGAATGACTCAGAAAAAAATCTGGTAGTCAAACACTCCCATTTCACTAATGAGGAGATTGATTTTTTCCAAGCATTAACAGGGACCTGTCCAGGATCACCCAGGTAGAAGGGTTTAGATCCACAGTGCCCTGCTATTGAGTCTGGATTTCTTGCTTAAAGGTAGCAAATCAGGTACTCAAAATGACCTTTCCATCTGAATGGAAATAAGCCATTTCAAATGCTGCAGAATTGAATATATTCCTGATTAACGGCAAGAGTCATTTGACAACATTGTTTTTCCCTATTTTCCCATAAGCCTTAAGTTTATCTCTATATTAAATTCCACAGCTAGTGCAACTTGGAACAGGTTAGCTGTCCACCACTGTCTACCAGGGGAGTGATGGCTGTGCTGGAAAGGGTCGAAGTCCAGCCAGCTCTGGTTCTCATGGTTCCTGGGATTCATGAAACAGAACATGGATCTGGTTACTTATAACGCCATCTGTGCCTCTAGTCAGGCTGCCTTCTAAAGGAAAGTAAAAAGTCACAGCTCCAAAGGAAAGCAGTCATGGGTGGCCCTAAATTTTCACCAGATGATTTTGAGAATTAAAAAAAAATCCTAAACACATTTATTCTTGCTATGTGTTCATAGGGCTCTGTAAGTAGGTTCACATGCTGTGTTGTTTCTCTGATAACCTTAAACTGTCCCAGATGCAACCTAGCACTGTAAGTTGCAGACTAATAATGAAGTAATTGTCTCTGTTCTCTGATAACTGCCAATATCAATACTTCAGAGATGTAATATAAACCCCACAAAATTGTTTAGCTGTGTTCAGAGTCTTAACCTTACCAAAGTTTGAATTAGAAACATTACCAAAATTTGAATAAGAAATAAAGTAATAGGTTTCTATTATGGTCCACTTACACTTTTGGGTATACTTTCTCCTATCAAAGATGACAAAATGATTGACAGTTATAACATAAATAGTCATTTTATAAGCTCAAAGCAAACCAAAACAAAAACCTCACATACTCTAGCTAGCTTCACTGGTCCTCACTGTCCAAGCATTTTACTGATTCTGGGAGACTATTTAGAACAAAGGGACTCGGTGCATATTTAAGATATTCTGCTCAGGTGATTAATGGAGTAAATTTATCTCAGTAATTAGAGAAATATTCTAGAACTACAGTAACCAAACATTTCTTTTCTGAAGGTACATTGCACTTCTATTTACACAAAGTTCTCTGCTAGGAGAAGCTTTCTCCATTAAGTGTTATGTATCATAGCTCAAGATTCAATGGTTTTAGAAGTTATAGCAAATGCAACAAGATAGGAGTCAGAAATATAACGAGAAGGATGAATAACCCTACAATTTGCAGGTGATATGGCTATAGTACAGAAACCACCCAGAAAACTAACTCTAAACATATGTCAATGACAGAGTTAAGCCATGTGGACTGGTATCAGGTAAAAATGCAATAGATTTCTTACATTCCAGTGTATACTAACCAGAAAGCATGGAATATTTTTCCCTTACAAGAACAACAAGACCCAAAATACTTAGGTATAACATGATCAAGAAGTAAACGACATAAAATTGAAAAGATTTCACCAAAATAGGATGAGACATATGTTTTATATGGAAAAACTATGTATTATAAAAAATAATTTTTTCCATCAGCTTGCATGTAGATTCAAATTAAATTCCAATGGAACTTTTAAAGGGCACTTAGTAAACAATTTAAAATTTTATCTGGAGAATAGCAGTGCAATCATTTCTATGAAAATGGGAAGCAGATGTTCAAAAAATATTAAAATACATCAGGAGGGCTGAGGGTGTAGCTCAGTGGTAGGGAGTATACTTAGCATGTACAAGGCCCTAAATTCAATTGCTAACATCCCTGACCCTTCCTTATACCCTCAAAAAAACAAAAACAAAGCAAACAAATAAAACCCATAAAAAACACTGCATGTGGTATTCACTTGAAAATAGACTGACAAATCAGAAAAGGTGGCAAGAGCAGAGATCTTGATATAAAAACTTACATTGTAAAGAAAGCATCATAAACCAATAAAAAAGGGATGCTCAACCAATGATGTTAATCTGTTTGGGAAATAAGGACAGTTTCAATTCATACTATATATTGTAAACCAAAGCTGCTTCTAGAGGAATTAAGGGTCAAATGTAAAAAATAAGGGATTACAAAAAACAAAACAAAATAAACCCCATGTGACTATTTAGCTGCTATTCAAGGATAAAACTGCACTAAAAAAAAAAAATCTGTGACTGTTATATCTGAAACTATAAGCCCTTTTCTCTAACAGTGTTTTCTGTCAAAATATCACAAAACAAAACAAAAATTACATTTGGGAAGCAAGTAATAACTGAGAATGTTCTCAACCAGTGTGAAATAATGTGAGACAGTAATGTACAGAGAGTTCTTATAACACAGGTCCAAGAAGGAGTGCCATCTTGAACAGAAAAGTGGGCTAAAACCAGTTGTATTTAATTCAGGGAACCTCAAAGGTAAGTGTTTAGATTTACTAAGGCTCAAAGCTGTAAAACTTAAAAAATGTTCTTTTTTTACTTTGCTGTTTTCTTTCCAGTCAGCGCTGGCAGGAATGAGTACAATGAAAGCCCCACCACTGGTCGCAGTGAAACGGTGCATCTTGTCTGGAAAGCAGCCTGCCAGATTGCTTCCAAGCCCCACAACTGATTACCCCCTCTGCGGCAGTAAATCTCACAATGGAATTCTATTCTAAAGAAATAACCGAAGATATAGACAAAGACTCATAAATAATGAGATGCATCTAAACCTTGTTTAAAAGTAGTGTAAAGCGAGGCAAACTGCATCTCAGATTATGGATTAAATACACCACGGTACAATCATAGTATGGAATATGAGCTTTGTAGACAATACTTACAGCTATCTGAATATATGAATACATGAATACATAATCAAACTAATATGCACACAAAAAATATTTGGGAGGATAGGTAAAATATCTCACAACATGATTAGTGTATTATCACAGCACATATTATTTTAATCACATACTACCCCACATGATGGGAGGGTGCATGAGCATTCTGAAGATGCACCCCACTGCAGCCCCACTCACCTGCATAATCCTCTGCACCATAGTCCTCTGTGGGGTCCTCAACTCGGCTGTAGCGGAAACGTTCCACCTTCGGAAACTCGTTTGTTGGGGAGTATGGCTGTACCGAGGTGCCGTAGAGGACTAAGGACCATTCTTTCAATTTACCTGTAAAACCAGAGCAGGACCAAATATTCACTCTTTCATTATAAAACTCCAAGTCCTTTACAAACACATACACACACACACACACATACACACAGAGCAATAACAGAAGAACTATGTGAGCAGATTGAAAAGAATCATTGCATCACATACGAAGCTAACTATGCACATTTCCCACCATTTGCAGAATTCACTATTTAATAATTCATATACCATGGGTTTACTGAGCACCCACTTATTAGATAGGTCTTCATTTAATCAGCATTATTGGAAAACTGGGAAATAAATATTCTTCAGATTACTGGATCAAGGATTGAATTTCATATTCTCAATATTTAAGAGAATTCCAGAATTCTTTAGAAGGCTTTGTTTTTCTAGCTATAATAAAGGCTTTATTTGGGCTCTTCATAGTTTTGGGTGTTATCCCAGTAGTTCACAAATAGACAAAAAACCCAAACAAACTTCTGTTCTACCTAATTCTTAACCTATCATTCAATGATAAGAAAGAATCACTATACAAACTATCTTTTTTTTGAGCCAAGGTCTTGCTTTGTAGTTGCAGGCTGGCCTTGAATTCAAAGTAATCCTCCTGCCTCCACCTCACGAGTGCTAGGATTGTAGGAGTGCCCGGTTTATAAACTGCTTTACAGATTGTACTGTCCAATGATAGCTACTAGATGTACAGTATACAGCTATTTAAATGAACTGAAATTAACTGGAAATGGGCCATTCCCCTCCCTGCAGAGCATGTCCCGGACACCACTGCAAAACAGCATCTCCTAGTCAAGAATACCACGAGACCACAGTGATAGTCTCACCTCCTTTGGACGGATTACAAGGAACATTCTGCTTTTGTTAAGTCCTTATTTATCCCTTTAGCTCTCAGCGCCAAAAAATTAGTTTTCAATGCAAATTAAAGAAAAAGGAAAAACTGCCTCCATGCCATTAAGCTCAATATGATTCACATCAAAAGGAATCAACCATAACAAGAAGTGCTTTAAAACAAAACCATTTCAATCCTACAGATATGCTAGGAGGAAGGCAGAATCCCACTCGGAATGCCTCCCATCTTGGTTTAACAGATAGAATCTGGGATGGTCAGGGCTGGGGTCAAGGTTGGGGTCAGAGGCTAGTACAGAGTGACGACCTTCAGCCCTAGGGCCTTTCATCTATCAGCATCTATAACCACTATCAAATCTATGCCTAATGTTTCTAAGTACAGTATTTACTGTATGCTAACAAGCACAGGCCCAAATGCTTTGTAAATCTTATTCAATTCAGTACGATAGCAACCCTGAGGGAAGGACTGGTGTTCCCAATATATAGTTGGGGAACCTGACTCATGGCAGTTACTAACTCCCCCAACTTCAGTAAGAGAACAGATTAAAAACCACTCTGAATCCAAATCCTGAGCTCTTCAAGTGTTTCACAAATAATTCTAGGACTTTAGGAACCTGACAATGAGAAATAAGCACACACATGTTTCTTGACTTATAGTGACATTTGATCCTGCTAAAATCACTGTAAATTGAAAATATTATACATTAAAACTACATTTAATACACCCGACCTACTAAACATAGCCTAGTCTACCCTAAATGTGCTTATAATGTTTATATTAGCCTTCAGTTAGGCAAAATCGCCTAACACAAAGCCTATCTTATCAAAATGTTGAATATCTCATATATACACCGATGAGTGTTTTGTGGACAAGATGGGGTGCAAAACCACAGTATCCCCAAAGCACACTGACAACATGGTACCGGGGGGACCAGTTATTTTCTCTCATGTTTGTGTGGCTTCCTGGGGCTGTGGCTCACTGCCACTGGCGAGCATAACGCTGTGGCGAGTGAGTGTTGCCCTGCACGTCATGAGCCCAGGAAAAGATCAAAAATCAGAACTCTAAATACAGTCTCTACTTAATGCATGTGGCTTTCACACCTTCATAAAGTTGAATCTTAAGGTGAACAATCATTAAATCAAGGATCATGCACAAAGGACTCTTTTTTTTTCTGAGTGTGCACGGGGCCAGTACAATCAGTTTATATGTGATTTGCTCTTTGCCAGCTTTCTTTGCATTCATTTGTTAATGGCCATGCTTTCCGCAGTCAGGGTGGTGGTCAGGATCAGTTCTCAATGGCACTTCTCAAATAGCGCCAAGTGAATGAAGTGAATGATCATCGGGAAATGATGTCTGCTCTGCCTTGAGGTAGCAATACAAGGAAAAACCTAGTTTCCTTAAGGCATCTCTCAGGTATATCAGTGGAATATATAACACAATGGTACTACAGGTCATCTCATCCATCAGTTACCCTAAAACCTAGTTCATTTTGGATCTAAAAATTTATCCTCCAACGTGCTTTGAAGAGTGCTGTCTCAAAATTAATTATGTAGTTGGTGCTACTTCTGAAGGACATCATGGGCCCACTAGGGATAGCCTTACAATTCATCTCTTTAATTTTCACTTACGAGGTTATCACAAGAGCCAAGCAGGTGTCAGTGCCATGCTCTTGAACTTCCAAAACTGAGAGCTAACTTAACCTCTTTTTGTTATAAAGTATCCAACTATAGTATTTTGTTATAGTACCCCAAAACAGACTTGGATATGTGAGAAACACTCTTTGATCAAAACATATTCTGTCATTTTCTTATATAATACATCTATTGATAGATAAGAAGCTCTCACCTGGAGTTTTGAAGTTCCTCAGTTGAGAGGGAGTATCATAAACTTCAAGGATCCAATCACCAGCAGCTTGTTCTCCCCAGCAATGAATGGTCATGAACTCCCAATTTTTAAATCCTTCCATAGAATGATCAAATAGCCTGAAAGAGAATCATAACACATTGTCCTGTATGGAATTTAAAATCTTGTGAGGGAATAGGCAACACCATGATCAGCGATCATTTCTCATCAGTCAACATTCTTAGCTGCACACTGGAGCTTGTCTTTACCCTGGAATCACCAGTTGGCAGACCCACACATATATCAATGTCCTACACTAAGCAAAGAGGCCTGGGACTGGCCATGCAAGAGCAAATCTATAAGGACTGACCATGTGGGAAGAAGGAAACTGGGCTGAGTGAGACCCTACCCACAACACTGACAGTAAAGGGTTGAAGATGTAGACAGAGCAACTGGAACTCTCTCATGGTGTTCAGAGGAATGCAAAAGTGTTACAACAAATTCACCATAAAACTCAAAAAGCTCTTCAAGATATTTACCCAAGAGAAATATGTCTGCAGAAATAATTCCGCATGAGTTTTCATAATTTTTTTTGAGACAGGGTCTTGCTATGTAGTTCAGGCTGGCCTGGACTCACTGTGTAGCACAGGCTGGCCTTGAATGTGAGGTGATCCTTCTGCCTCAGCCTCCCAAGTGCTGGGATTATAGGCATGTGCCACCAATGTGGTAAGTGTTCATAACTGTCAAAATCTGTAAACAACTCAAGTGATCATTAAATGGTGAATGGGTAAATAAATTATAGTATATTCATACAATGAAATACTATGCAGTACTGAAAAATGAATTCATACAATTTACAATTATAATTAACATATAATATATACAACCACATCTATGAGTTTCATAAACATATGCTAAGTGAATGAAGCCAGACACAAAGACTACATATTTTATGATTTGGTTTCATTGCATTTTAGAAAAGGTAAAACTATAAGTAAGAAAACAGATCAGTAGTTGTCAGGGACTTAGGAGGGGAAACAGAGGTAAAGAGAGGTTATGAGAGTGACTGAATTGTTTTATATCTTGAAAGTAATGGCATGTGGTTGTACAGCTATGCAAGTTTGTCGAAACAGTATTATTCTTGTAAAAAACTGATTTGTTTACATATAAAGTATGGCTCAGTAACAAGACTCTCCCCATTATTCTTATCCAGTTCAAGTCTGGCTAGAATCCCAGCTGAGGGTCTGTTCTGATCTTTCCAAAGATTCTCTAAGTTCTTAATTCCCTACATGAAATATCTTTCTGCTTGAAGTAGCTAGACTCACTCTGTTTCCTGGGATGGGAGTCCTGAAATGTGAAAGAAAATGACATACATAAAGTTGTGATCGAGAATAAAGAGGTGGTAACAGATAAGGAGCACGTATTATTCACATAGGCAGACAATGTAGATGGACCACACACGCACCCAGAAAATGCTGAAGGCATTTTCTGTGCGGTGGAATCTCAGGGTGGAAAGTAAAAGATGGGACAAAAGACAGATTTTTTTGCAGTTTTCTTTTAAAAATTGTATACATCTGTTATTTTATTGAAAAAAAAAATAAGAATAAGTTGAGAATGGAGAGTGGTAAAATAGAAGGAAAGCATCACTAACATTATCTTAGCATTATCCTAGCGACCACATCTGGTCACTTTTGGCAAAGCAATGCAGACGGCTACCCAGAAGATGCAGTCCACTTCTTCTGCCTTAGTTTTATGTTCATCAAATAAATCAAACGGTTATAATTTGACTTTCTAGGTATGTCTTCCTTTGGGAGAAATTGTGTCCTTCTAAAAACAAAAATGACCAGTTTAATCTCCTTAATGTACTAAAATCTGATCTTTTTAAAAGACATTATATTAATAATACATTTGAGGCATCCTCTAAAATGCTAGCTGGAGTCTAAAACTGGGTTCAGTGGCACAAGATTGGAACGTGTTACATAAATGACTGACCCCCAGATATAACCCCTACAGGAGGGCAATGAAAAGGCAAATCACCTGGTATCTGTTCCCTAAGCCTTTGGAAAGGTGGCATGAGCGAAGGTGAATAGATGCCTTTACTGCAGGACACTTCTGCTCTTTGGAATAAGAAGATGTGTTTGACAATCTCCTAGGTGGAGTTAGTGGCAGGTAGTGATTTTCAAACATACTATACATGTGAAGTACAGTCCCTCGGGCCCTCCTTCTGCCCCTCTTCCATCCCCGTCCCTGCCTGCCCTGCTTTTCTTTTCTTTTTCTCTCCTTCCTTCTCCTCTGCTATTCCCTCCAATCCTCTCCCCCTATAATATCTGTGTATGATCCATGAAGGTTATGTCACCTTTTGAACAGGGCTCTGTAGCACCTCAACCAGGCCCACATGGGATTAGGTGATGTACCCCCAGGATGAAAGGGATGAAAATGGTGTTTTCACACTATGCCAATTCATTACTAAAGGATTTATGGAAACACTACAATTCACTGTGCTGCCACAATAGGCAGTAGGGTTCGTTTCACAAGTTTATGGTTTAGAACTGGACTTGGCCAAGAAGAAATTGCTAGACCATTATATAACTGACACATCTACCAAGCCCCTCGCTTAGAACCTGGGGTGTGCGAACATTGGGCAAACGGCAACGCAGAGACAGAAGGAATTTTCACAAGCTGTCCTTCCTTCCAGGGGTGTTACTAAGAAAATGTGCGGACATGGAAATGGATGGAGTGGAAAACCAGTGTAGAACCACTTCCTTGCCCAGCTAGAACTTGAACTCCAACCCACTTGAGCCACTGTGCTATTTGAGGGCACCGAAGCAATAACTTGTCACAAAATAGGGCTCCATGAGTGCTGAGCTTAAAAACAGCTCCTGAACAGTTTAGACAGAACATTTGGCTCCCTGCCTCACGTCCGAAACTACAAAGGAGGCTTGGGGCTGCCATCACACGGGGGGCAGTCCTGTTTCCACAACGGCAGCCAACTGTTAGTTCCTCACGGGTCAGTTATTTGCCTGCTGGATTAATAGGCCCTATGTTCCTTCCCTTCCACTCTTTCTGATCCACCTTTGAGAATCACTCCCTGGCCACCAATCACTTCGCAGTCGCATTTGGAACAAAAAATTAAATACAGACTGGATGCCAAGAAGATTATTTGTAAATCAAAACCCGAGTTTCAAAGCCCAAACAGAAATGGGCTTTGTCTATGTTTGTGTGTGTCCATGTCGCTAAGCAATTTCCTCCTTGGTCTCCTCACTTCCCGCGCAGTGGGGATGTTCATTAACTTCATGTGAATGTACAAGTTGAGGAGAGGACCACGTAGTCAAACGTGACAACAGGCAGACCATTGCTGTGTCAGCTAACCAGGCATCCACACTTCCAGTCTCAGCCGTTACTTTCTAATCACAGATCATTTCAACAGGGATGTATGATTCCGTATTTTGATTCTGATTCAATACCTCAATTATTTTGTGTTCATAGTAGTGTTAACATTTTTCAAAAACTGCATCTTTTGCATCTAAAAATAAAAAGCAATGTAGGTTGCAGATGGGTCTGATATTGCAAAGAACATATTTGCCCAAGACAATCAAATGTGAAACCATGCACATTTATTAAGGAGATTCTAATCATAGGCTGAGCTAAAAAGTTAGATGCCCAATTTGAACATCTGTGGTATGCTAACAGCAGAGAGATATGACATGTGCCAACATTATTAGTGTGGCGAAAATATTATTCATATAAAGCCAGGGTGCTAAAAGCTAGAATAGATTAACTCCACGCCTGTATCCATTTCTGCTGCAGTAAAACTCAGATCTGTCAAAGTTGACTTCATAATCATGTGCTCAATGAAATGATATATGGATGCAGTGGCACACATGCACATAGCCCTATCCCTGTGAACAATTTGCAAATAAATTGTTTTGAGTGAAGCCTGGTAGAACAAACTTGCCATTAAGTGTAGTACATCCTTGTGATGAATTAACTCAGGAAATAACTCATGATTACTAACCCCTCCCCTTAAAGAGTCTAGCCAAATATCAAGGCTACAACATTTTCCTAGAATGCCATGGCAAATAATAACAAGGCATTTTATAAGTACTGACAGCTACGTGTTATTATATAATTATTTCTAAAATTGAAAAATGGAGCTTAATTTCAGAAGCACCGATTACTATTCGAACAGTATTTATTACTACACAATTAGACATTCAACCAATACTCTTGAAAGGTTTCTCTTTATTTATTATTTGTTAACTTATCTAGTGTGTCATCACAATTTAAGGAACAGCTTAGTTAGTGCTTGAAACACTCACTAGGCTCAATTATGATTGAGTTTCTTATTTTCTTTAAAAGTGTGGTTTCTGCAAGGTTTAGTTCATTTGCTTTTGATGCAGGATATTCAAAACACACCATTTTGTTTTTCTCTCTTTCCTAATGTAAACTGCTTCTTTAATAAAGGCTGAGAGAAAGACACTGGTTCTAAAGGTTTGGAATAACTAAAATGATATTTTTTTTAAAGTTTCAAATTGAGTATTGTCAAATCCTTTACTAACCCCCCAAATGCATTCCTTCTTGAGGGTACATGATACAAGTCCTTAATCTTCTTGAAGATTTATTCCATTTTGCAGTAGATGGCTTTTTATCTAAGAATCTGTTTTATATTACAAACTTCTTTGTAAATTACTTACAGTCTCGACCAGCTTACCACTCACAAGTTTTTTGATGACATAAAAAAATAACCAGAATGTGTGTGAAAAGACTAGGTGATGTTTTAAATTGGGGCTGAGGTGTGCCCCCCCCAGGGTGTGGTCTTTGGACAGGCAGCTTCCATCCTACCTGGGAGCATATTAGAAAAGCAGTCCCTTGGACCTCATTTAGATCAATAGAATCAGAATGTCTGGGAAAGGTGCCCAGCTATGTGTTTGCTGGAGTTACTTACCAGGTGCTTCAAAAGGATTGGGTGAACAGCTTTCCCACTTAAGAAGCAGACATGTGAGGCACTGCATTAAGTACGTGCTGCATTCTATCTTATTTAACACTTGTTCCAGTCTTGTGAAGCAGGTACTCTTCCAACTATTTTATGACTGAGAAAATCCATTTCTCCAAATTCAAACACCATACATCAGCAATGTCA